CGTAGGGGAGTTTTTATGCCGTTTTTACATGTTTTAGATATTTTTAAATCTACGCTTGATAAATTTGTATAAATTAAAATTTTAAAACCACACATAAAATTGGATCTTTCAAAATATTTTTTCAAAGGCCAAAAATATACGTGTACTTTTTCAAATTTGTTTTTACAGACCACAGATAGGCCTGGACTTTTTAAATATTATTCAAGGAGATTTTTCAAAGAGTTTGTATCGCCGCGAAATGTTCGTCCTAGACCCACCTTTTAGTATATTTCGACTAGCCACAGTTAGGGACCAATTCGGTTCAGTTAATATTATGGGAATGGAATGGACCAACAACTTTATATTTGTCTTTTCTTTTGTGGAAACCGGTAAAGTATGCATTCTACGGCGTATATATCTACTTCTGAAGGACATTGATACCAATTATGTTGTTGTATATACTCAGATGTGGGAGTTATACGTAAATATTTACATGGAAATACTTATTCTGATATTTAGTATTGCCAATACCACACAAGTTTGTCAAGGGCGAACTTTGGTCATATATATATATATATATATATATATGGGCAATATTGCCCAGATGTGGCACATCAATGATTTTTGGTACACATATAGAGAAAAATGTTCTGACTCCGAAACCGTTCGGATCAAATTTTTGGTTGATGCGCGCAAAAGTTATCGAGGTTTTAATTTTGGGCATAAGAAAAAATCTTAAAATTACGCCGTTTATTATATTGACCAAAAACGTTGATACATATCTTCCTCCGTAAAATAAGAATATGAATATATTATAATAATCACGATAAAGTTGCGCATATTCGCGAAATATGAGAAAAATAAAAAAATATAGCAGATTACATCAATATTTTCATTATATTAATGACATACACACACCTAAAAATTAATTTAAAAATATCTACATAATCTAAACACCATGATGAATCAAATGATATCAAAATCACACAAGTCCGTGTAGCGCTCTCTAAATCACAGCGACAACAAAACAAGATATTGAGGAAAAATATTTGTTTTTGGTTCGAAAAAATAATGTCATCATATTTATTTTTTTAATTGTATACAAAGGAATTTCAGAAAAAAATGTTGGGGTTATTCTGCTATTTTGCCCGAATTTCGCCGAAAATTTTACATATATAATAATAATCACTTTTTGTGTATATGTATACGTCTTGCGGATTATATCAAGACCCTTCCGATAAATCTTAGAATTCTATAAATAGGAATAAATCTTAAAATAAAATAATATTATGAAATATATATTTTAAATTGCGTCTAAATCGCGTAGTTCTCAAAATCATTTGATGCGCATGCGGTTTCCAGGAAGTACTGAAGTTTATCTTCCAATCCATGTATATTTTGCGAAATTTCATTTGACGGCTAAGATGTGCCGCACGTTACATTGAAGTACCAAAAAAATCGTAAAACGCGAATAATTTCCGAAAACTCCATATGCCATTAACGCGCATCCGATTTCGGTGTGCACCCTAAAAAAATACATCGATCTATACCATTTCAATGTGGTCCATTAAGAACCATGGATGTGCCAGCAAAATCTATTTTTGAGATAAATTGGGTACATCTCTCTTTCGGCTGAAGTTTTTAAAGTTCTCTTTTCGAAAAAGATCAAAAAATGAGGTCATTTATTGAAGCGGAAATGATACACAGAAAACGCAAATAAATCCGCGACATTTTCAAAAACATTTTTTGCCAAATTTCGTGTTTTTGGAAGGCCAGTTCCCGCCGTTCTAGTAGATGGATTTTCACGAAGAAGATTTTATATCATCCGAAACGTAAAAAACCTTTTTGATCGCGGGTACCCATATGATTAGGTTGACAGATCTAAAAATTTGGTCCGAAAAATAGGTTTTTTAGAAATTTGATCACACAAAATTCGCACCTTCGGATGAGTATTACTCTGAAGCTGTTTTTGATCGACTGCAGAAGCTTTTTCATCTGTTGTTCTTCATGCAAAATTAAATGGACTCGATCATTTGAGATGCCCATGATATTAGCAATTTTTACGCACTTTTATTCGTCAATCATTTAATACCATATCATGTACTTTGGGCACAATTTCAGTTGTTGTGGCTGTTTTTCGACGTGCACTACGTGTTTCATCTTTAATGCTTGTACGACCATGTTTAAATTCAGCAACCCAATTTTTAACTGTTGCATATGAAGGAGCACTTTCACCAAACACCTAATATTTAATGACAGCACGCATTTCTAACGTTTTCATTGCGTTTTTTTTTTTTTTTTTTTTTTTGAACACCTGTTTCTATATGAAGGACTTGCCAGATCAAAACAAAATTGAACAAGTGTTCAGAGATGGAAGGTTCCAAAACACTTAACTTTTTGTGCTAGGCTAAGGAGTTTCCGAACTTCTCTTGTATGTATGTTTACATAAAATATTGTCTATATCTTTGCCACTAAAAAGGGGCCGTGCGTCTGGAAATTCAAGCGCACTTTTATAAACGGGCTAACACATGAAGCAAACATACGACAGGACAGTCGAGGACAATTGAGTTGATGAATTAATTCCCAAACAATTAAATATTTTTCTTTGCAGATTGTTTATTTTGTTGTTAACTTTAGAAGGCTACGAAGCCCCACTTGTTCCGTTAGTATTGTTTGAATTGAAACGTCGATGATTTCATATTTTCTCGGTCGGTATTCGAATAATTATACATGGGCATAGGGACTGCATTTTTTTCTCCAGTTGGGTGGCTAAAATCATAACCCAATGGCTCTATATTTTTGCAGATGGGTTGGGAAACACCTAAATTATATTCTTATAAGAATGAATAAAAAAGCTTAACACATTCAAAAGATAAATAAATTAATGAAAATCTTTAAAATTTATATTTCTATCGCTTCCACATATTTCATCTAATTGCGCCATTGCCACTTATATGTATGTGTAACACATATGAAAATGATGAAAATTGCGAGTTATTCCACGTTGAAAGATTTGGTTCCTCAAATTTTCCCAGCGGGCATTTAAATTAGAACTTTGTACCAGGTTACTCAATGAGGATTTATTTGGCATGTATACAATGGAGTTGACAAATGAAAGTCACTGGGTAACAAAATCCGGTACAATGAAAAACGTACTATAAAGAACAATTTCAATGTTCCTTTAAAGAACAATTTCAATTTTCCTGTTGGGTTATTTCTATAAACATAATTTGTCATATTTACATTGACACGAGTATTACGTTCGAATCACCTCAGCTGGGTTTTGCTGATACCTTTTATAATTGTACCATGCATCTAATCGTGAATTTTAATATACATTCCATATATAAACAGTAACGAGCACACAAAATGCTAGTAATATTATCTTTAAATTTTAAAAAATTAGTTCGAAAACATATAATTGAACTAAAACGGCATTTACATTAGAACTTTTTACCGGGTTAACCTACTTTATGAGGATTTATTTGACATATATGTAAAGGTATTGACAATTGAAACCCACTGGGTTAACGAAATCCGGTTAAATGTAAACGTACTATAATAAAAAAATTAGCTACCGTTATTTTGAAAGAAAAAATGTAATTACATATTATATGGCAGAATTTGCATTTTTATGACTTGCTACTGTATATATCTAACTACGGGTAATTTTTTGATGTTTCTTTTAAGATGTTTCTAGCATCAATAGATGTTCTTGAACAATTCGTAGTACTCAACGCCAATTTTGGCAGCGGCAGAGTATTCTTGAATCGAAGACTGACATAATTCGTGCTGTGGCACACATCAATACACATACGTACATATGTATGTACAACACTTAAGTAGGCAACTTTTTGCCAGAAACGCACATTTTTTTAATTAGAAACCAGTTATAGGTCTTGCACAATAACTTGAGTGGCAATCGCACTGTATTGCTCCCAGCGAATACGCAAAATGGGCGGCCGGTTGAACAAACATTAAAAATGGACTGATTTCCCGTAAACAGTGTTTTAGATAGAAATTCTTTATCAATCACATTGTGTGGTGAGGGTGGTGAATAGCATTTTGGTACCCCCAATTGTATTTAGGGCATTCAGGCGAAATCTTAGTGTACGAAAAGTAGTTAATAGTACTCAAGCTAACTATTAACGCCCAAATTAAATTTGAAAAGTGTTGCCACTTCTTGAGTAAGAAAACAGAATATTTATTTTAAAAATTATTCCAAATCAGTTTTATTTTCGAAAAAAGGAAATTTATATGTATCTCCGAAAAATGTTAACATCTGCTTGTCACTGTGCTGTAGCTTTAAATGTTGCTAAATATGAATTCCGCCAAAACAGAATATTTTTTGGTATATGGCATATTGGAAGTACTTGTTTTTGCTTTTTATTTCTGTAATATTTCTAAGACGAGAAAAGCTTTGACTGGCACATCGCGTACATACATATATAAATATATGTCACAACGAGGTGTGGACACAATGCAATATCATGAATTAGATAACTGAGTTGAAATTAGTCAAAAAAAGGTCCAAATGGATTGAACATATCCTCATGAAAGGACAAATAACAACATAAAAATAAGCAAACGTGTTTACTTGGCTTGATAACACAAAATCGTAAACCCTTTTTCCATCTGTAGACTTTTTTCATACAATGGAACAGGTTTTGGTATTCGGTGAGCGAAATTGCCATTTGCCTATTGCCTTCAATTGCCTTGGATTTTGTCGTCGTCAATTTCGGTGTTGTATTCGGTTGCATGGTTTTACGCCAATAATTCTATGTAATTCACATAACACCCTCGAACGACGTTTGCTACATAAACGATAAAGCTCTTAACTAATATTTCTGTTGTTCAACGTTTTAAAGCTTACACGCTCCAATAGTTTATAAAAGAGTGTGTCTTTGGCCGACGTAAAAAGATTTTCAAAAAAGATTTTCGTTAAATCACATCGCCTAATCTATCAATTCACCGTTGAAGCTGTGATCGCTGTTCCAAAAGAAACACACGAACTAGTAAGAATGTCGTTGTACATGATCCTTTCTGTAATAGTGCCACTGGCTGTCACTCTGACGGTAACAATGGCATTCCCTGATGGGGCTCCCTCGGATACGTGCGTAAAGAAGCGGCCCAACCAACCAAACCACGGACAGGCCAGATCTCAACCGCTTGACAGCAACCCATACAATGTGGTAGCCGACTCGGAGACATATCACCCTGGTCAGGAGGTTACAGGTGAGTCGTATTCTCCGCAAAATCCGAATTGTTTCTAAGAACTGTTATTTCCAAAAACCGTGCAGTGGTAATATATCCCCATACGAAGCAAGAGCTGTTTCGGGGATTCTTCATACAGGCGAGAGATGCGGACTCGAATGAATGGATTGGGGAATGGCTACACAGTGAGAACACAAACACAATACCGGAATGTTCCGCAATAACACACGGAGATAATCGCGATAAACTTGCTGCCAAACTCATTTGGAAAGCTCCACAGAATAAACGAGGTCGTGTCTACTTCACGTAAGTACCATTTTCATACGATGGGGATATTCTCGAACGGTCCGAAATTATTTTCTATCAAAACAAACAGCAAATGCTGCAATAATCAAATGTTTTCAGTCCGACCACGCAACACAAACTGGTTATGCTGAAATGAGCCTTTTCGGGCAAGCGGCTAGTATGTGTATAGATATGAGTCGTTATAAATAATAACAAACAAGAAGTGTTGTACCCAAGTCACAGAAACTCGCATTAAACTGTTCATGCTGGTATGTATCCCTTTCAGATCCAGCATGATCAATTGTGAAATCTGACCATTTTTAAGTGAATGTAGTATAAACGTGTGTATGAGTCTGTTAATTATTTTTTTTTTTATTGATTTAGTAGTGCTTTGTCACCCCTTTAGAACATGGGAAACAAATTTGAACTAACAACGAACTTAGCATGCCGCTCTGGTTTCAATATGACTACAAAAACATCGGAAATTTATTACTGTCTATGTGTCTCAAAGGCAAAAAATTTAGGAAACAGTTGTTATTGTTGCAGATGTGCTTCGAAAGAAGCAGTGAAGAACTACTTCATATCTATAGGTAATTTCATATGGGAATATTTCAAACAGTTTTAAATTCCTTGAAGCTGAGGTCCGCAAACTCATAACTCGCGAAATATAAAAATATTACATATAACACTGTGCGACAAATTAAAATTTGTTTGATAATTACCGGGAAATTCCAACTGATTATGAAAGAGGGGATAAAAAAGAAGACACGTGTATCGGCGTTTTGAAAGTTTACGTGGGGGTAACCTAAAAAGGGGGGTCAATATTCCCCCTTTTCAAGAATTTTGATAATTCTCGATTTATGATTACTTGTAAATCTTGCTTTTTAGGTATATAGTGTCTTCGGCAATATTACTGATAAAATATCGAGGAATATTTTGGTTTACAACTTTAACCCTCAACCGACTCATTGAAGGGGTCTTTCGGTCCCCCTTTCCAGATGTGATTGAAAACTCATTCAAAACGGTGTTAATTGTGCTCAGAACATTCTACAGAAATGTTCGCCATAATGTTTTACTATAAGTTTCAGAATAGACTATAATAGCCTAGACAGACGACTGCCTTAATTTGAATTAACAGGCTTAATTCAAATTAACTTGTACATTATCGTCATTTTTAATGCACAAAATCAAACTGAATTTATACTGAATTAACCAATTTCAATATGGCAATGCTGTCGAAAATCAATTAATTGTTGTCAAATTTGTTTACGTTTACAAAAATAAAAAGTATAAATAAAGGAAAATTTCAACATTTTTTCAAATTGGGAGCTGTTTTGCAACATTCTAGCTGCTATTCTTCCTTTATGCCATGTATATATTCTTAAAGATCCAATCCCGAAAAATATTGGAAACGAATGCCAACGTCTTCAACATCTACATACAGACAAACAATTGTTTTGAATCAAAAAAATTGTTTTGTAAATACAGAAACTCTCGTCTGTCAGGGGTAAATATTAATTCAAATTAAGAATTTTTTAATGTAAATTAAGGCTGTCGTGTGTCTATGGTATAAATCAAAAATCAGCCTCAACGTCAAAAATCTTAAAAAAAATTATCAGTACTTAATTTTAGGTATATTATGTCAAAGAAAAAATATTCTACGTCAAATTCCACTGCAAGTCCCAAAACAAACTTATCATATCGGGTTAAAGTTATATACCAAAATATTCCTCGATATTTTATCAGTAATATTGCCGAAGACACTATATACCTAAAATGCAAGGATTTCAAGAAATCATAAATCGAAAATTTGTGTTCTTTCCTCTTTCTTGTGCCTAAACTACACAATGTGTAGAGATGGTATTTACCGGGTAAATACCCAAGGAGTGGGTAAATACCGGGTAAATACCCATTTGCGGGTATTTATTTTGGTATTTACTATATTGAATCGGTAATACAACATCTTACACCCTATTTCCGGGTTTCTGTTATCAAATCGATTTAGAATGGATAGTTTTACGATACTTTAAAGACGTGGGTAAATACCCGAGTTTTTACCCAAAAATTGGGTATAAACTCATTAACTGCCGAACCACTTGACATAGGCGGCCAAAATGTTGCATACATGTTTTTAATGTCAAAGCAAACATAGAAATCCAAAAATGGGGTCCCTGGGTCCAAGTTTTGATATAGCCCCCATATAACCGTATCTCCCGATTTAAGGGAACCCCACCCATTCTCGATTTTAGTTTTTCAAGATTTTCAATGGGCTGGTAAATCAATACCAATTATCAAAAATAGGTTATGATCGAAAATTACATTGGTCATTTCTAAAGTCGAAACTCTTTTCAATGTAATCTAAGAACGTTACCTAAATTGCAACGGTTTTGGCTAAACCTTCAACAATAAGGGACGTATTCTTCTTTTACATCTCTAAGTCCTTAGTCTCTATTTAGATTGGGCGAGTTTACTTGCGGCAAGTCTTTGTTTGCAGGAGAGAGTGACAAGGGGAATAGAAATTGAAAAAATTGCCCTTACCGTTTGTGTATTTTGTTTGTAGTGTCAGTAATTTGAAATTCAAAATGTAAAAAAAATATACATATTTTTGAAACCGAATTGCCTTGTATAGACTCATGAAGCAAGTTCAAAAGAGAACGATAATAATTACCGCAAGTAAACTCGCCTAATCTAAATCAGGACTTATATAGATTAGCGAGTTTACTTGCGGCAATTCGTATCGTTCTCTTTTGAACTTACTTCATGCTTCTATACAAAGCAATTCGGTTGCAAACCCTTGCCCCTCTCTCCAGCAAACAAAGACTTAATATTATAAAAATTCAAAAATACGGAAATTCAAAAATTAATTTATTTTCAGATATTCTCATATATCTACATATATGTTTTTTAACCAATGCGTTTAACTATTTGCGGAGAATTTCGCCAATTACCACAAATAGGAACTCATTTAATTTATATCTAAAATGCAAGATTTAAACCGCTTATATTTTGAAGTAGATTACAGTTAAATTCGTGCCATGATTAAAGCTATGTTTTTCTTTTTAATTGCAGGGGTACAGTCTTGCAAAGTTATGGTACATTCTGGAGTGACATTATCGGAAAAGTGCAACGACATCAGTGATCCATGCAACATTAACCAGAATGCAGGAATTTTCAAAAATATGAATATTCGCCTATATTATAACAAAATAAAGAAATCAACTAAAAAACAGATTTTAATGTTAATGTTTCCATAATTTTACAATTACTAACTGTTTGTTTGCGATTATACGAAAAGTCGCCAAGTATTCAAAACAATGATACCAAAAAATAATCTCTACAGATGAAATTCAGCAACAAATACTGATAATGAATACAATAAAATGTAAATAGATCTGATGTAGAAAAATACACTTTGGTGGCAATGTAATAAGAAGGCCATATGCAGCAAGTGTAGAGATTATGACTAAAATAATTTAACTCAGTCGGTATTGGTTCAAATGTCTGTGATAAGGCGGGGTTTGTTGATATTCGTACTTAAAGGGTCGAAAATCAGGTGAATGAAGAAAGAAAAAATTTGAAATGTGTTTAGGAGATTGGGTTGGTACTTGCAATAGATTGGCTATTGTATTGTGCAGTTGTGATATGGTGTTAGTTTTTGGAAATAGTACACATTTGTACCCAAAAATTATAAAATGTTCAATTACTGATTTATGCATAAATTGGGATACAATATTGACATTTGTCATTAGGATCGCATTTGTTATGGCTATTAATGGCTTAAATAAGATTCAAAACATTTAATTATTAAAAAAACGTCACGCTAAATCCACTTAAAATTATTTTATTCAATCGGAATTTTTTTACTTTTTTTAAAAAATTCCACGAAAAGCCAAACAATATTGGCATTAGTCATAGAAATCAATAATTTTTTTTCCTATTTTCACCTGAAATCGATGAACATTTTACGTTTTTATTTACTTTGATTCAATTGCTTACTTTGATTCAATTGCATTTCCTTGTAAGGAACGCTGAAATCTTTTATGATTTCCACAATTGAAAACATTTCGTAGAATAGAAACAGTTTTGTAATGTTTGTGGCTCTAAAGCATGTGTTTAATCACATATGAGTTTAAATGATTTTGGGCGTGATGTTTTTTATAGAATCACCTAATCTTATGTAAGAACTCAGCCAAATATGATACAGGGGTATGAGGTTGTGGAAACCCTAATGCTCACACCTTTCGTATTGCAACAATGATTCTCAAATAAATTGCGGGAATCAACAATGCTTCAGATTACTGGTTACAGCAATTTTTAAACGAACACAACAATCGTTTTACATTTCAAAAGGTAGTTACTAAGTAAATGTCGCATTTACTATTATGTGTCCTTATCAGGTAGACGGAAAGAAAGTCTGTTTTTAAGGGTTAATTGATAAACGATCATAAACGATGGTCTACTTTAATATGAATTGTATTTTACAGCCGACTAGTCATTAATTAACACGCATTGATTGCCCCATTATGTTTCAGTATAAGATAACATCGAACATACATTCGAACTGTGAAGTGCAAATAAGCGGTTTTATATATTTTAAATATTATATTTCATGATGTGGACCGATATATTAAACGACAATTTGAAACACAAACCAATATTTTGGATCCACAGTTATTAAATAAATTATAGTTCATCATGTGGTAAAGTTTTTATTCCATTAACATATCTCGATAAGCGTGGTTTTAGATTTATCGGGATCGGTGTTGAGAGTTTATCTCTCTCAGTGGTAAATTGTGAATTGAGTTGGAAAACATTACCACAGGTAGAAACAAAAAAGTACGAAAAGGTACCTAACATTCTACTTCAAATGATAATAAATCATAATTATCGAGAAATAATGGCCAATATTTATACCAGTTATTTGCATAAATAATATATGTTATAATTTAAGCGTAAATGTATTCACGAATAATAATAAAAAAATCTTTTTTTGTACGTTTATGTCAATTCGTACCTTTTGTGAACAAAAAGTACGCATGTTACACAATTAAAAATAGCGCAACACTAATTACTCTCAATTTGCCATGAGAGAGAGAGAGAAACTCTAACACCGATCCCGATAAATGTAAAACCACTCTAACCAACTGTATGTGCAATATACTGTACATAACGCCATTATTTACACGACACACTGTAAATACCTGACACGATAAAGGCATTGCTATCTGCACTCTCATATTATTATTATGCTCACATACACATTTACAACACTTTATACTACGTTGCCACTTTTTTCTAACTCAAATCCCCACTTGAAGATACATTATCCCCAAAAAAACCAGAAATAATTTATAATCCCCAAAAAATCCAATTTTCCTTTATGATATAGAAATTATAGTAAAAATTAGTAGATCCTTTTAGTATGTCTGTTCCCATATTAAAATTAATTTTTTTATTGTAATTTTTAAATTAATATTTACTCTTTAGAAAAATTAAAATAATATAAAACGAATTAAAAGAATGATAAAAAATAAAAAAAATATTCTTCAAAATCATATCCCAAGTTCAATGATTTTATCGAAAATTTAATCCCATGAAAATCTCCAGGTCCCCAAACCAGAAATTTAAACCCCATTTCAAAATAAATCGCTTAAACTGGCAACACTAACTTTATATAGTATGTTCGTTGAATGCATACATCGAATGATCTTTCCTGCAGTAACACTTACCGTTGTTGTTGTTGTTATTTTCAAGTTAATCAACAACAATTTTGAATGTCCAGAGCACAAGTACAATGACACTTGTTTACTTGGCGCGCCAACATTCTACGAAAATATACCTCCAGTTAGTTACAAAAGTGGAGCTCGACCGTGCGGAGCACAATTAGAATCCGAAGCGCAAATTATTCATTGATACGTATATCACCAGCAGTAGTAAAAGCCAGTTTTTACAATGGTTATCAATTTTGCTGCCGGTCCAGCTAAACTACCCGAAGAGGTAATGCTTCGGAATGCTAATGTCTTTTGAATATTTAAGCAGATACTTTTTTTATTCATATTTTCATGTCCATTTAATTACAGGTGCTGCAAGACGTCCAAAAGAATTTGCTGAACTACGATGGCTGCGGAATTTCAGTTATGGAAATGTCACATCGTTCATCCACATATGGCAAGATTCAGAAGAACGCAATCAATAGCTTGAGAGATATACTAAACATTCCGGACAACTATAAGGTATTATTTATGCAAGGCGGAGGATGTGGACAATTTGCTGCCGTATGTATGAATCTTATAGGACGCAGCGGAAAGGCGGACTATGCTGTCACCGGTTCTTGGTCAGCGAAGGCGGCAAAGGAGGCTGCTCAATATGGTCAAGTGAACGTAGTGTTTCCTGCTTTGGACAAATACACCACTGTGCCTCGTTTGGAGACGTGGAACTTAGACCCCGAAGCGTCGTATTTATATTATTGTGACAATGAGACTGTAGACGGTGTTGAGTTTGATTTTGTACCTGTTCCTCCCAACGATGTGCCATTAGTGTGTGATATGTCGTCCAATTTTTTGTCGCGTAAGATTGATGTAAAGCGATACGGTGTTATATTTGCTGGAGCTCAGAAAAATATTGGGCCATCTGGAACAACGGTCGTAATTATACGAGAAGACTTGATGGGCCACCAACTTAAAGTAACGCCATCCATTTTCAACTACGCACTAATGAGCAAAAACGATTCCTTATTGAATACGCCAAACACATTTGGGTAAGTCCTATTATCCGCTACTAATATCTAAGCACATTTACTGTTAAATTTTGAAGAGTTACCAAACCCCTGGATATCTTTTTTCAGAATATATGTTATAGGTTTGGTTTTCCAATGGATTCAACGTAATGGTGGAATCGATGGCATGTCGAAAAATGCACAAACCAAGTCCGAGCTAATATACGATGTCATAAATAAATCGAATGGATTTTATTATTGTCCAGTTGATAAAAACGTCCGTTCGCGAATGAATGTACCTTTCAGGATCGGTGGACCGGCAGGCAATGACAATCTGGAAAAAGCTTTTCTTTCAAAAGCAGAAAGTGAGGGAATGATCCAATTGAAAGGTCATCGCTCCGTTGGTGGCATTCGTGCGTCTCTTTATAACGCGATAAAGATCGATGAAGCCAAAAAACTGGCGGAACTAATGTTACAATTCTATGAAAACAACCAAAAATAAATGTATGCATAATGTGTAATAAAACTTTTTTATTTAAAATTGTATAAGTCGTACCTATAATAAACCACGCGACCTGAATATATTATATAACTGCTCCTCCAAGTAAGCATTTGTGCCACGTAAGTTGTCGACAACCTTTTTAGCCCAAACAAAGTATTCATCTCGCCGTTCCTGAAAAATAGAGGGAAATAATTCAATTTTGTTAATATGTACATGGTTGAAGTGCGCCAGCCAACCTGTGTCCAGCCACATGGCAACGTTTTTTCAAGATCTCTTAAGTTGTCCAATTTGTCGGCCAATTTTACAAGTTTTGCCTTCTGGCTTGATTTTGCTGCATTCTTTATTTGCAATTGTTTCCTGACATCTTTGGCTAAAGTTTTATCGTCCGTAACCTCACGCACAATTGAACTAATTTCATATCCGAATAAATTCTGTAAAGCCGAATATTATTTATTCTTGCGAGAAGAGCAATTCAATGGATTACCTCAATTTCTTCAAAAGTTGTATCAGTGTCCTCTACCGTATCATGAAGCAATGCCACCATAAGAACTGTCACATCCTCTACGCGAGCTTCTGCCGACAGGATTGTTGCCACATTTATGGGATGGTTAATATACGGTGTGCTATTCGTATCTTTGCGTCGTTGATCCCGATGCTTAGAAGCTGCAAATTGTAAACATTTCATAAACAAGTCCATAGTATTTTCATATACTCTACAAATCGGATAAAACAAATAAAAAATTAAACAAGTTAAAGATACGTCAAAAGTGAATGAAAATGATAGCACCAGCTGGCTTTTATTTGGCGGTGACAAGGCTACTAATTAAACGCGTGAACATTGGACGGTATACAATTAAATATATTAAATATGACATTAACAAAATGTAGTAAAATGTTAATTGACTTCGCTTGCTTTTCCATTAGCAAGTTTTTCTTTGCCAAATTTGCGAATCAAAATACAAAAGAAAGAAAATAAAAGTCAAAAGTGTTTGCATTTTAAAGATTTTTTTTATATATTTTATTTTATATTTTATTATATAAATTGCAAAAATTAAATTTCACTTGCACAAATTAACACAAAAGCCGGCTGTGTGTCAGTAAAGCGAATAGGTTCAAAAGGAAATGTCAACAAAATTGTTTTCAACGAACAGAGCAAAGCAGAATTTGCGTGTACGGCAAATTCTGAACAGGCAAATTTTTGTTTTTCTTCCTCGCACCCCTCTCCCCAACAAACTCAGTATTTGCCAAATAAAAATTTGCCTGTGGAAAAGCAGACTTACCGAAAAAATAATGTTTTTGCACAAAGTACCAAATGTCGAAAAAAAAGTTGAAAAAATTCAACTATGGCAGAACGTAGTTTTGTTTTTTTCTTTTGTTGGAAAAAGAAACAAAACATAAAGAAATATCATTTTTTCAATAAAAATATAAAATATTTGAACACATTTTATAATTTTTTAATTTTAATTCGCTATTCGGTTTAGTTCGCTAAGTCTTGATTTAGATTAGGCGAGTTTACTTGCGGCAAGTCTTTGTTTGTACGAGAGAGGGGCAAGGGGAATAGACATGGTACAATTATAAAAGGTAACAGCAAATCCCAGCTGATTTGATTCCAACGTAATACTAGTGTCAATATGAATTTGACAAATTATGTTTTTAAAAATCACCCAACAGGAAAATTTGGAACGCATACAATTTGAAATTGTTCTTTATTAATGTGCTCCCGTATTCAATTTACTCAATCTGCCTGCTGGAAAAGTTTGAGGAAGCAAATCTTTCTTCAAGGAATAACTCGCTATTCCCAGCATTTTCATATGTGTTACACATATATATGGCAATGGCTCATTTATAGGAAAGATGTGGAAGCGATAGAAATATAAATTTGATAGATTTTCATTCATGTTTTTCAATTTTTATTTTGAGGATTCGAAAATATTTCATTTTCAAAATAAAAATAATTTGATGATAATTTATTTGTTTGTTTACATTTTTCTGTCAAATGAGTTGACACTAGTAGAACTTACAACAACAAATTTCCATGTGGTTGTTGTAACGTTTTTTGTACAACAACACTTGCTGTTACCTTTTATTATTATACCATGGGGAATAGAAATGGAAAAAAATTGCTCGTACCGACAATTTTCTGGCAATTAGTTTTGTGTATTTCGTATTTTTTGACATTTTATATTTATTTAAATGTGAAAAAACTATTTGAAACAAATAAAAATTTTTTTTGAAACCGAATTGCCTTGTATAGACGCATGAAGCAAGTTCAAAAGAGAACGATAAGAATTGCCGCAAGTAAACTCGCCTAATCTAAATCAAGACTAAGAGCAATGGATTCAACGTATTTGGGTAATACGGCCGTACACAACATTTATCCATAGTAGGGAAGTTGAATATTTTTGTACGCTTCGTTGAATTTTAGATAACGTTGTCAAATACGCATTGCGTATAAAAATATAAAATTGAAAATGTTCAACATTGACAATTCATATTTTGGATTTTTTCTGCCAAATATAAAATAAATATACGAAACAAGTAGTTGTGTTTATTTGATATTTTTTCAAAATTAAAAAAAAATAAATTTGAAATAAAAGAATTAATAAATTGAAATTGAATGTATTTCAATATATTTTGAGGGGCAAGGGGAATAGAAATGGAAAAAATTGCATGAACCGACAAATCGTTTAGAATTGCCGCAAGTAAACTCGCCTAATCTAAATCAGGACTTAACGATTCATAAATTTAAATTAACAGCCTTACCTAAAATTCAACTAGCTCGTTCGACGTTTTTCACCACAAAAGTAGAACACATGTATTTATGTATATGAATTTTACCGAAATACGTCGACGTACAAATTTTCAAAGTTGAAAAAATTCAACTATGACAGAACGTAGTTTTGTTTTTTTCTTTTGTTGAAAAAAGAAACAAAACATAAAGAAATATAACTTTTGCAATAAGAATATGAAATATTTGAACGCGTTTTATAATTACTTAATTTTATTTCGCGATTTTGTTTAGTTCGCTAAAAAATGGATTCGACGTATTTCGGTAATACGCCCGTACAAAACATTTTGCCATAGTGGGGAAGTTGAATATTCTTGTACGCTTCGTTGAATTTTAGGTAACGTTGTAAAACATACGAAAAATAAAATTATATGAAATTAAGTCCTGATTTAGATTGGGCGAGTTTACTTGCGGCAATTCTTATCGTTCCATTTTGAACTTGCTTCATGCGTCTATAAAAGTCCCAATTTAGATTACTATTGAAAAACGGCATATGTTTTTATGCATTTTTTGATCTAATGAAGAGCAATTCCTATTAAAATTGTAAAACCCATGGTGAATGAATGAAACCAGAGAATTTTTTATGTATACGTAAACAAAAAACTGCTGACTGCTTAAGATCGCATTTAGACGATAAATTCTATTTGATTATACATATATTATATATGATTACATTAAATGAATATATTTGACGTATATGCTATGGAATTGACATTTGGGATCGACTGGATTTCGTAAATATAAACGCACTTTTATTTTGTATTAACAACACCGGGTATGGTAACACTACAGTGGCAACCCCCTTGTTCTACAAGTCCACACAGTTTATGTCAACACCGGCTAATTTAGTACATACTGTTTTTTCCAACCATGTTATATTCAATTGTAGTCGGACATATAGGCTCTTGCTGAACAACACTGTCCATTCACAAATCAACTCCAGTTCATTCCAAAGCAGTGCAAATTTACGCGGTGTCGGTTGAATTTCATCAAGATCCAACAAGATCGCATTACGCATTTATTTATATCATTAAATAACTACAGGTAATTGCATTTTTTTCTGTTTCTGTTCTATGTGTACAAATTTAATTTGGAAATTATTTCCATGTTCCAATACAATGATCATTTTACACACATACGTTCTATATTAATGTTGCGGGTAGCAAGGTGAATTCAAAGTCACAGCTGGCGATGCGTTCTAGTTGATGATTCTGTGATTTAAAGGGTCTTTCTAAGTGTAACCGTTTCAAAGTTAAACTGCTCTGAGTCAGTTTATGAATAATGAAATGGGGCGCAGTTTTTTAATAATCTCTACAAATTATACATAAATTGTCGCAGCAAAAACTAATTGGAATGACTTGCTATTAAAGTCCGTTGCATTCATTGGTTTAGTGAATTCCAATAAGTAAAAGTGTACCGATGCGAGGGTAAATGTGATAAGTGTTTTAATATTTGTTATACCGCCAAATTTGTTAAGAAAGGGCTCACCATACCCTTGCATTCCTTTGTCCTTCCAATTGCCACTCAAGGTCGAAAACGTCATTCCATGACTATTCACCAAGTTTAGGTCAGTCAGCTGTTCCCCCTTGTTTGTTTATTTTGTTGTTGGAGAAATGTTTGTCATTGCATAAAAAGCTTTTGCTCAGACACTTTAGCTAGCTCATCATTCACTCTAGCTGATATTATCGGGGGTGTTTGCTTTCAGAACCACAAACAAAATATATGTATAAGTAGGTATACATGTTTGTGAGTTTGGAAAATCGCAATAGTTAATGGACAGATTCATCACCCCACCGCACGAATATGGATATAGTAGGAATAAAAAAACATGATTTCTTATTGTAGGGAGATACAAACTATTGTTTATCATATACAAAGCATAAAAAATCGTTCTATTATCCTATAGGGCAGACATACTCGGTCGTTTACTTTTTCGTGAAAAGAAATCTAACATAATGGAAATGTAACAGCAAGTGCTTACGCTTTTTGAGTTTAATTTTTATTTACAACAATTATGAGCTGTCCTGTAAACATTTATACAAAGTGTACATATATTTTCGTTCCGAATACACATAAGAAAACAATTCAAATTCCATAATTTTGTCGGCGTTTTTATATATGTGGTCTATTATCATACTTTTTATAACACTCACATTTATCATGTTAGTGTTTCAGAAGAACATGCGCAGTGGTCGGTACTGAAAATTATATCTACCTTTATATACCAGTTGAGATACCACATGCATCGATAGGACATGTCTCGATTACTATATCGTTATGTAAAAAAATTGCAACAAACTTTTAAATGGCACTACAAAAATCCTTTAAAAAATCATGGAGTAGTTCTCAATTTTCCTACCTAAATTAAAGTATGTCAACTTTTTTATAATATAAAAATGTTAATTCTTATATTTTATACCATGCTGTTTATTACTAAATATTGAATATGTGATATTAATACACTTGAGTAGTTTGTCACTTGCCAAACATTCAAATATATTATTTTTAGAATAATACCTTCTAAGATATCATTAAGAAATCGTTACATGGAGTAGTATAGTTTGCAATTTAAGTGAAATCGGCCTTAATGGCTTCATATTGCATTTTTTGGAATAAATAAAGTGATTTATTGAAATATGAATTTAATCTGTTCAAAAATTACTGTAATTTTTTATACATATAAATAAATTTTGTCTTTTACAATATTTTATGTCATTACAATCAAAAAGTCCAATTAAAATATATGTCAATTTGGTGGTGTTTATTTGTCCTTTTTATACAACCAAAACTCGAAATATTAATGAAAGGTTATGATTTCTTACCAAAATTTATTAGGGAAACCCATGAAATGTTTATTTTCATTCACACCAAAGTAATTACTTCCAAACGAAGCCGATAAAAATCATTTTCATTTCAATTAAATTTGTATTCGGAACAATGTACACACATACCAAAAATATGTATTTTGATTTCATAGAACAACGCCAACGGAATATATATTTGGTTCGAAATCTTCGTTTTTCTGTTAAATATTTGCACAACCAATGCCTTTTTTAGGTCTTAGTTTGAGGGCTTTTGTAATAATAATAATTTTTAGATAATGGATTTTCAATTTCGTATCAATAAAATGAACAAGTAGTGCAGTGCGCCGATAATGTTGTTTCAAATAAGCACACATTAAATTTAATTATCCGCATATTCTTGACTGCCAATCTTTTCTCGTCGAAAATGTGTGCCTCGGACCACTGTGCAAAAGTCCGTTTGTGAGAACAGACACAAATAATATTTTTTATTCTCTTCGCTGTAAGTTTGTGTGCCTTTTGACAATACTCGGTTCCTCTTGGGTGGTTGATTGTTTAGTTGGTCGCTGGCCGTAACAACTGACGGATAAATCGTATCGACATTGGCTTTTTAACGAAGCACTCAAAATTAGAAATTATTTGCTAATCAAATAACAATTCTCATACCGACTTTCAACGCATTACGTTTGGGTGTCCTAGAAGGAATTTCTAACAAAGCTCAGATTTTGCGTTGTATTCGAATTCCGGAAGGTTCTTCAAACGGTTGTCTACCCAATCTACAAGAAACATTTGCTAGGAGAACATTTCAAAGCTACTTTGTCAGGATGGTGAACCCAACTATTTACGACGAAGTCCCAAAATTTAAGGTATATTTTGTTATTGGTAACAAAAAAATATATATGTTGTTATAATTACACAACCAAATAATTTTCCGCCCTTACATGCCACCATTACCTACCAAAACGACTTTCCTTGGTGTTTTTCATATTTTCATCCCTTCACAATTATGCAATTCTCGTCAAATACGTATTTTAACGGGGTTGTGAGAAGGTAAAAATAAATCGATTGGTGGTTAGTTTTCGTTCACAAAGGAAATCATATTTTTGGCATTGCTCCTTTAACATTTTCTCTCGACATTGTGGGAAGATGTGTGAATTTTCTAACATGCAGAGAGAGTGTTATTCTGTGTGCATGAGATAAATTGGCTTGTCGTAATCAAAATTGTTTGCCAAGTGTGCACAAATATATTTAATTTTATAAATAGCGTTTTTAGAGAGATGTTATAGATTTTGTAAACTAAGAATAATGCATTTGCAATTGCGGAAATAATTGTTAGCATGACCACAATTACGTACAGAAGCAATAAAGAGCTAAAATTCTAGATGACGTCTTAGATTTTACCATTGTAATAACAATAACATGATTTACTATATTATTTGCAAACGGCAAGGAACAAATATATATACTATATTTCTAGCTTTGAGAATTTTAAATCCACCATAAGTGTCTAAAAGTGTATGTACTATCCTAGCCAACCATGGTTTTGATTTTTTCCGTCAATCTTAGGATATGATTGAAAAATTTGTATATTGGTCTAAATAAGTATACATATATATATATATATATATATAAATTGAATAAATGTTACTCTAAATTAACACTTCATAATAAATGCAACACTCATCACTTTTCTACTTTTGCATATGTACGTAGCTATTTATCACATGATTACTCTCACATTTAATTTCAAAATATATACATATATTTATGAATACCACGAATTACAATACTAATTGATTGTTTGCAGCCAAACGAATATCCCCAGAAGATGGCAGCCCAAGCTGATTCTCAATTGGAACACATGTGTCGCCTTGAATTCGATGCTCCCGTCTCGCAAATTCGTTTGTCGGGAATAATCTGTACCATTGGCCCAGCTTCTGTCAGCGTTCCCATGTTGGAGAAGATGATGGCTACTGGTATGAACATTGCTCGCATGAACTTTTCCCATGGCTCGCATGAATATCATGCTGAAACAGTGAAGAATGTTCGTCAAGCCGCCGCCAACTACTCCCAAAAAGTTGGCTATGAATATCCAGTTGCCATTGCTTTGGACACCAAGGGTCCTGAAATTCGTACTGGTTTGATCGAAGGAAGTGGTACCGCCGAAGTTGAACTGAAAAAGAATGACACCATTAAGCTTTCGACCAATAAGCAGTATGCCGAAAAGGGTAACAAAGATGTTATCTACGTTGATTATGAGAATATCGTAAAGGTAGTCAAGCCCGGCAATCGCGTCTACGTTGATGACGGCTTGATTTCTTTAATTGTCAAGGAAGTGTCTGGCGACACATTAACATGCGAAATTGAAAATGGTGGTGTGTTGGGCTCTCGCAAAGGTGTAAATTTACCAGGCGTCCCTGTAGATCTGCCCGCCGTATCAGAAAAGGATAAATCTGATCTGAAATTTGGCGTCGAACAGGGTGTAGATATGATCTTTGCCTCATTCATTCGCAATGCTGCAGCTTTAGCTGAAATCAGGAGTGTTTTGGGAGAAGGTGGAAAAAATATTAAAGTAATTTCCAAAATTGAAAATCAACAAGGTATGCATAACCTGGATGAAATTATTGCTGCCTCTGACGGTATCATGGTCGCCCGAGGTGATTTGGGTATCGAGATTCCCCCCGAGAAGGTGTTCTTGGCTCAAAAAGCTATTATTTCTCGCTGTAATAGGGCCGGAAAACCTGTTATCTGCGCTACTCAAATGCTCGAATCTATGATCAAGAAGCCTCGTCCCACTCGAGCTGAAATTTCGGATGTTGCCAACGCCATTCTCGACGGCGCTGATTGTGTCATGTTGTCTGGTGAAACTGCTAAGGGCGAATATCCCTTGGAATGTGTATTAACCATGGCAAAGACGTGTAAGGAAGCCGAAGCGGCTTTATGGCACAGAAATCTATTCAATGACTTGGTCCGCGCTAACCAAGCATGCACTCTGGATGCTGCTCATGCTACTGCTATTGCCGCTGTGGAAGCAGCAAATAAATCATTGGCCGCCGCTATCGTAGTCATCACAACTACCGGTAAATCAGCTCATCTCATTAGCAAATATCGCCCCCGGTGCCCAATTATAGCTGTAACTCGTCATTCCCAAACTGCAAGACAAGCCCATTTGTATAGGGGATTGGTTCCAATTGTATACAAGGGTACGTTACAAAATCAAATGTTCTATGTGAAATTAGTTTATACATACCTCCCTTGTTTTAAGCAGAAGCTCCACTTGGTGACTGGTTGAAGGATGTCGATGTACGTGTACAATTTGGCGTACAAGTCGGCAAAAAGAACGGTTTTATCAAAACTGGTGATCAAGTCGTTATTGTTACCGGCTGGAAACAAGGTGCAGGATTCACCAACACCATGCGCATAGTGTAAGTAAAATGCCCTATTATTTAAATGTAATCTCAATTAAAATAATATGTTTTCTGATTTTTTTAGACCTGTGGAATAAGCTTTCAGAAACACGTTAAATGAATAACCTCGTTAAATGCAACAACTAAATAAAAATGTTTGGCACATCTGTATAGTTTAAATTATTTCTCATTATGTATTTGTAGTCTGAAACATAAATCTGTTAATAAAGTATAAACAGTTCAGTTATAATAAAATATAATCAGTATTCTCATGTGAATGAATAGTCTTCTTATGGATAAAATGGGTAACTGCCGATCAATTTTACAATCATTTGTCACCTCAGCCCATTGTGTAAAAACAATAGGGCTGCTACAACAACACCATGAAATATGAAATAATTGTTATAAAATGTATTTTTGAAATAATAATAAAAAAATTTGATACATTTTTAGGAATGGATAAAACCAGTATTAGTATGCGCAGCCTATATCAAAAAATATGAAAATTTATTGCTATATAGATTACGAAATCTATGTTTGATAGTATTCTTACACATTCAACTTAAAATTTCCAACTCAAAAACCAGTAAAAAAGTAAAGTCGGACTGGGCCGACTATATGATACCCTTCCTTCACCACTTTGGGTATATTCTACATGTGTCTCCCAACAGACTCCGCCTTTTCGAAAGAACACTGACATGAAATTCTACAAACCTGTTGTTGACCTTTTTTTGAGGCAAAAGTTAATAACAGCGGTTTTAAACGATTTTTTGACTTTTTAAATGATGCATTTGTACAAGAAAGAGAAAACGCAGATTTCCACTGTAAAAACCGGATATAACGAACAACGGTTATAAGCAACTACACATATAACATACAACACATATAACGTTTGAAAACAATTAGGGTAGTAAGTTAAAAAAATTTCGACCCCGCGATTAGATTTTTAAAGGAATAATTATTACAATGTCGTATGTTTTTGCAGAATGCATTAATAACGATTAATACAGTACCCATTTATACTCCTTAAGGACATTAATATGTCAAAGTGAGATAAAACCATGCTTACTACAGTCGAACACGATTATAGTAAACACTGGATATACTGAACAAAATGTTTTCAAATGCCACTTTTTTATTTTTAATGAATCCTGAAAAAAGTTAAAAAGTAACTTCTTGATGGTTTATATTTTAAGGGAAATTCAAGCCCGCCATTTCCTGTTCTCCACTATTTAGATTTTTTCTCATAATCTTTATTCGACAACCTATTTGCGGTTTAAGAGTCACGTTATTTATTTTGTAATCAAAATTCGTGTGTATTCGTTTTTTTCGCGGAAAAGTTGTATCTTCCTATGTCATTCGGTGCATCTTGACAAATGCATGCAAAATAACCTAATTTCCTATTTTAATTTGACATATTTTTCGTCCATATTGTTGTTATTGGCAATTTTACTTGCGGGGACGTTGTGAACAACAATATGTTTCCTGGCTTTTATTTCTTTCATCAAACCAAATATTAAAAATATTATTGTTTTTATTCTGAAGTTCCATACAAAAACTGATATATCTTGAAAAACGCAAAAAATCGCAATTTGAGACCTATTGGAATCAATTTAGAAGGCTTTTATTAATATATTTCAGTTGTCAAAAAATCAGACAAATTTAAACATTTTATTAAAAGTCTATCTAAAATGACTTACATATGTGTAAAAAATAGACATATTTCTTTTATTATAGTCAACTATGTAAATTTTGAATCGCTACACAAACGTATTAACAAATATTATATATTAAATAAACATCACACACCACCGTTAATACTCTCCATGTTTAATTTGTATGTATATGCTTTGAATTTAGCGGTTTTAAACGTTTTAAAATACGCCTTGATTTTTAAAATTTTTTTATTTCTTTAATTTTATTTTCAAAGTTTATAGTTTGGCAACGATTTTAAGAGTTTTTAAGACACTTTTACGCAAAAAATCTTACATATTCATAAAATTTGACATGTTTTCTTTTTAATGACATCAAAAAAGATTTTATTTTCCAAAATTGAAAAAATGACTTTTTGCCCAAAAAGCTGTAAAAATAACCTATAGTGCAATGGGACATATTTATGTAAATCGATTTTATTTACATAAATTTAATCTCAATCAGATACCCGTTTGTAATATATATTTGTAAGTTGAGGCTATAGTCTCAAGTTGATACGTTTCGTGTCAACCGGAGCAACATTTACCTAGGAACTTTGGTACACCATTTACATAAAATAGGACGAAACTATATATGGGAACTATATCTAAATCTGAACCGATTTTCACAAAACTTAGCACAAATCACTCTAGACTCAATACAACAGTACACTATGCCAAATTTCGTGCAAATCGAATGATATATAGGGAATTTGGTGCAGCATTTACATAAAATCGGACCAAACTCTATATGGGAGCTATATCTAAATCTGAATCGATTTTACAAAACTTAGCACACATCACTCTAGACTCAATACAGTACGCTATGCCAAATTTCGTGCAAATCAAAAGACATATAGGGACAATGGTCCACCATTTACATAAAATACTTTGTTTACAATTTACCACAAACAGACGGACGGATGGACATGCATAAATCGACTCAGAAAGTGATTCTCTGCATATTCTCAAAAGGAACCATGTGTCGTTTCCTTTTGCATGTTACAAACATATGCACAAAGACATAATATCCTGTACCGCAGTGTGGTGAAGGGTATAAATATACTGAATTTTAAGTCTAAAGAGTACAATCTTTAAAATGATGCATGTATCATTGAAGGATGAAATGTTAAAATATTTACTTGAAATAAAGTAGTACACGATTCTTTTAATAAACATTTTGAAACAAATTAAGTAAGTAAGTTATTTTTTTTAATGCTGCAGCGAGGAATAACAAACAGCTTCGAGCAGTATTGGCTCGTGTCTGACGACACCGCCACGGCATGGAGACAGACGTCCAAAAAGGCGTCTATAGATCAATTTTTGCTTTATCTAGAAATTCAGCTACTAGTACAATTTTTTCAAAACCATGTCTGTTTATGAATTCTTCTATCGAATTTATATTATTGAATGTGGGGAAGGAATTGCGTATTATGTTGTAGCGAGAGCATTTAAAAAGTACGTGGTTGGTCGTTTCCACAGTGTTGCATATTTCGGACATAGCGTTCGGTTTCACACCAATTTTAGCGAGAGTACTATTACAGAAATAATTGTCTGTAAAAATTCTGTTTAATTGTTTGCATTTAATAGGTTTGATGTCCATTTTCTCGAACCAAGGTCTTTTGCGAGCTCGTGGAAATATACGTAAATAGTGTGAACTGCTATTCTGAGATTGATTTATATATATATATATATATGTTGTTCCATTCTATCCAGAGTTCGTCGGTCACAAGGGCTATTGCGTCCCCAATGGTTAAGGGTGTGTTTAATTCCGTGCCTAATTCTTTAGCTCTTTTTGCTGCCTGATCAGCCGCCTCATTGAAGAAGATGTTGAAGTGGCCGGGAATATAATGAATTTCAATTTTGCCGTTGATTTGATTTGCCAATTTCACCAGTTTTTCAACTAGGAAGTTACCTTTACCTCTATTTTTGATGGCAAGTGCGCCACTAAGGCTGTCTGTAGGAATAGCCACCTTGTTTATGTCGTTGTTGACTGCAAATTCGACTGCCTTGGTTATGGCGATTAATTCGGCTGACATTGATGATAATCTTTTTTTGTTGTAAAAAGCAAAAACAGTGCCTGATGACTTGTGCACGAATGCCGAACCTGTATGATCTGACATGACTGACCCATCGCTGAAAAAAATTTAAAAATTTTCGACTTCAAGTTTTGTTAATTTCTCTTTCACAAGGCTATTGATCATTTCGGTATTTGCTTGTTTATTTCCTGTTACCATGCCCTCGAAGAAATCTTCTACGACTGTGATGTTGTTTGATTTTGCAGGAAAAGGCGTCGCCTTACCTACTTCCGCTATGATGTGCCTGAATCTGTTTGTGGTCTTGCAAATGCCTGTATTGATGGTGTGTGACATTTCTTCTAATGTTTGTACGATGGATCTATTGTATGCATATGATTTGATCAGTTCTTTTGCCGATGATAACTGGAATCTTGAATCAGGTGGTAGTTCTGCAGCCAGGTGATATATAAACTGTGTGGGTGTTGATTTAAATAAACCTAGAGATTTCCGTAGGAAAGAGTTTGCCGCGATTTTAATTCTTGTGAGTGATTTTTTATCTGCGTTGGCCAAGGCCGCAGCACCATATTCCATTTTAGATCTAACACATGACTTGTATATTAGTAGAGACTTTCTAGGGTCTATTCCAAATCTACAGCCACCCAATATGCTGAGAAATTGGCTTGTCTTGTCAACTTTTCCTATAGTGTAGTCTATGTGATCTGTAGCAGAGTTATTAGATGCAATGTAGAAACCTAAATATTTGATCTTGGAGACCTGTGCTCTTCTATTAAAGTGGATTATATTAGTTTTGGCAAGGTTAAAATTCATTTTCAGGTTTCTGCAGCGGGCCGTAAAGTGTTCGATTTTCAATTTCAAAATTTCTCTTGCTGTCGCGAAATCTCTGTGCTGAATTAAGATGAAAAAATCATCAGCGAATTGAAAAACGTGACAATGTTCATCTGCTATATCGTGGAGTTCCATTGTATATAAATTAAATAAAAGTGGGATTATGCAACTACCCTGTGCAAGACCGCTGTTGACAGTGATTCTCCCCTTGCCCAAACAAAGGTTTCTTTTGCTTAAGAATCCGATGACCCATTTCGTTACATGTTGGTCTATTTCTGCCTGATCCATTTTTAATTTCAAAATCATATTATCGACTCTTTTATAGGCTTTCTCCACGTCCAAGCATATACCCATAACGTGACAACCTTTCGCTTTATAAGCATACACGATGTTGATAACATCGTTGATAAACATAGATGTCGAGTGTCCAGGTCTAAATGCGTATGATCGTGAGTTTCTATATGCTGT